AGCTCATAATTTACACTCTCTTGAGTAACAGGCAGGTCTCCCTGGAACTTCTTGCAGCTTCCAAGGCCCACACTGCTCCCACTGCCTCTCAGGACTTGCTCGTAAATGTCTCTCTCCTACTCTTCTTTAAGACTTGACTTCAGTGTCATCCCCTTTAGATGGGCTTATTCAGCCCAAACTTTGTCCCATCCAAAATTTAGAATTTCTTCTTTTTGGCAAACCATAGCAGCCTGATTTTTTTTCTTTTTTTTTTTTTGGTAAAAACTATGGTATTTGTCTCTTTTTATTTGTTGAACAGATATTACCTGAGTTCTTACCATGTGCCAGGCTGGGACTAGAAAGAGGAAAACACTTTCCTTTCCTGAAGTAGTGTGCATTATAATAGAGACAAAATGCAAACAATATAGGATAATAGGGTTACCGCAGGGCATCCTCAAGACACCTACCATGATTTTTCAATGTAAAAACTAGGAATCTTAGAAGCAGAATTTTTAGTTTGGAATGTTGTATTTACTTTTTTAAATGAAATAAATTTAATGAATTTTTAACAGTTACCTTCCCAAGCAACTTCTTTAGCCCAATATGTTGTTAAACTATTCCTAGGGTATTATATCGGCTCCAAGTGTCTCCTGTAGAAAATGAAATTATTAAATTTTGACCATTTACACAGCAGATTATGATTTTAAAAAGCATCTCTTAAGCAAATCTTACCAAAGAGTAAAGATTATGGACTATTATGATTAGTATGATGCCTTATGTAAAGTGGTAGTCACTATGTTGAGACTGATGTATATGTAGCATTTGAGAAATTGAATTGTGAGTTTAGTTTTATTAAAGTCTGTATTTTGTAAGGAGATCCACCTTACAGACTTTACCTTAAAGTCTATGAATACTACAGTTAAAGAATATTCTGAAATTATGTTACAGAACAGCCAGCCAAGGACCAATCCATCCTGATGTTGGATCCGGATCACAGAGAAAACACTGATGAAGTATAACAGTAACATCATTATTTTTGAGAATCTCCTGTAAATATATCATATATTTATGCATTTGTTAATTATTAAAACACTATAACCATAAAATAAAGGTAAATCATAACATGGGCAATGGAGATAAATTGACTAGTTTACATTAATGCTACAAATTATACTTTATTATGTTTTTATTGATAAATACATTTTTAATGAATGAAAATACTTCATTGTTTTTAATGAGTATGCTACTGGAAATAAAGTCATTGTATTTAAAAATAAAATAAGGCATTTTATTATTCAAATTATGTATTAGCTATAGTACTGAAGCTTGTTTTTCTGAAATTCCTAATAAATTCTACAAAATTTTTGTACAGCGGTGTAAAAAGTTTATGATTAATAATTCCTCTCATAAATAGTAATGCTATTTATTTAAGACTTTGAAGGATCTCTGTACTTCGGAGATGTTACCAAGGGGTCTTGTTCTCAATTATGCAGGTTCAGAAATTAAAGTTATCACTTTATCCAGGGCTGATGGGTCTCTAAAAAACTGACTTTACTAGCAAAGCTCACAAGGTAAATGGTAAATATAAAAAATAAACTGCAATCTCAACTGGATTACTTGAATTGCCTGATCGGTATGTTCTTTTCCCAATAAGAAAGTCTGCTGGAGAAACCAGATTATATTATGTTTGTTTTCTTCAGTATAGAAACAAAGCCAAAAGTTGTATGATCATAAAAAAATTTTTTCATAGAATTATGACAGTCTCATACATCCTTTTATTTTCCATCAACTATTTCTACTTCATGTTCTCATCACCTCTCATCTGGACTATCTCAAGATGAATTTCTTACCTCTGGCACCAATAAGGCTGCTAGAATGGCATTTCTAAAGTGTGAGTGAAATGACCAGAATGAAAATTATATCAATCCAATCTTAAATGTTTTTAGAGCTTCCTCTCTGGCTACTAGAGAAAATTTACACTCCTGAGTGTGGCATGTAAGGCTCTTCATATTATGAGTCATCCCCCCTTACCTACATCATCTTTAACACCTTTCTCACCACACCACTTATTCCAATATACTGAACTCTTTATAGACTCCCAAATACAACCTGCTATTTCATGCCTCTCTGCTTGTATATATACTACTATCTTGGAATGCCTTCCCTTTCACTCTACTTACATCTGCCTAATAAAATTTAATTAATTCTTTTAAATTCTGCTTAGGTTGAATTTTCTCCAATTTTTCCTAATAATCATCTCTACTGCCTCCTGTATATAAATTATGTACTTTGTACCCCAAACTGTAATTATTTGTGTGTATAAATGTCTCCTTCTAAATCGAGAGCTCCTGGAAACTAAAGATTGTCATTCGTTTGTGCCCTTAGGAATTAAAATAGGGTACATAGTGGCAGATCAAAATAACAAATAAAGGAAAAAATATTCAATTGTTCAACTTATCGAGCCCCTACTATGTGCTAGGTACTGCTCTGTGTGTTAGAAATACAATAAAAGACAAAACTTATTATTTGCCATTATGGAACTTAAATTTTAGTGTGGATTACAGATTTTAAAACATAAAACTATAACATCAGATAGTTATACAGTATACCAAATGAAAACGAGAGCATGGTAAGGGACAGAGAATGATGGGAGTACTATTTTAGAGACAGAGGTAGAGTGCTCAGAGAAGGGCTCTGAGAAGGTGACATTTGAGCAAATATCTGAGTGAGTAGGAGAGCTAACCTTGGTGGTAGTAGAATAGAATTCTACATAGAGGGGACCTTCCACAGGAGTGTGCTTAACATGTTTAAGGAATAGAAATGCCAGCATGGCTATTGAGCGGCAAGCAAGGCAGAATTACTGGGAAATAATGTAAGAGAGGTAGCCACAGGCAGGACCATCTAGGGCTTGTAGGCCATGGGATTTCAGCCTAGATTTATGTGAATGAATCCTTTGCAGGGTTTAGGGTAAGGGAGGAACATGATCCTTTTAAAGGATCACCCCGGTGTCTGGAACATATATTTAGGAGAGGGAAGAAGGTAGCAAGTATTTAAGGAGGGGACCAATTAAAGAACTTTTGCAATAGCCTAAGTGAGAGAAGTTTATGGCTTGGATCAGGTTAACAATGGTGGCAGTAATAAGCGGTCAGATAAAGAATATATTTTGAAATATTTTATGATGGAATGGATGTGAAATAAAGAAAAGGAGCAATCAAGGATGATTCCAATGTTTTTGGGCCTGAGTACCTGTGTGAATGATGGAACCATTTCCTGAGATGAGGCATACAGAAGGAGAAGCAGGTTTTGGCTGAAAATCCATTTTTAGGTTTAAGATGCTTATTATCTATCCAAGTGGTGATACTAAATAGGTAGTTAAATACACAAGTCTGGAATTTGGGTGTGTGGCCCTGAATCAACATGTAATTTGGGAATTGCCAGTGTGCAGATGATATTTACAGCTGTGAAATCAGTTGAAATCACCTGGAGAGAGAATGTAGCTAGAGAAGAGATCTGAGCAGCGAAGAAAGAAATTGTCTTAAGAAGGAGGGAGGAATCAACTGTGTCAAAGCTGGTAATAAGTTTGGGTTAAATTAAGACTGAAAAACTCCTGCTGGATTTGGCTACCTGGAGGTCACTGGTGGTTTTTTGTTTTTTGTTTTTTTTTTTGCGGTACGCGGGCCTCTCACTGCTGTGGCCTCTCCCGTTGCGGAGCACAGGCTCCGGACACGCAGGCTCAGCGGCCATGGCTCACGGGCCCAGCCGCTCCACGGCATGTGGGATCTTCCCAGACCGGGGCACGAACCCGTGTCCCCTGCATCGGCAGGCGGACTGTCAACCACTGCGCCACCAGGGAAGCCCCTCACTGGTGGTTTTGACAAAAATGATTCAGCAGAGTTTTGGAACAAAAATCTAATTGGAATGGGTTCAAGAGGGAGTAAAAAAAAAAAAGATAATAATAAGGTATTACCACAAATTTTATAGGAATAAAAGTTAGGCAAAATGGAACTGGTTAGCAGAATTATGGTCCCCCAAGATGTTCACATCCTCCTCTTCAGGACACGTGAAGATATGACCTTAGATGGCAAAAGGAACTTTGCAGATATGACTAAGTTAAGGATATTAAGATGGGGATGTTATCCTGGGTTATCTGGGTGGATTCAGTGTAATCATAAGGGTCCAGATAAGTAAAAGAGGAAGGCAGGAGGGTCAGTGTTAAAGTCAGAGAGAGATATGCATATTATGCTAAACTGCAGGTTTTGAAGATGGAGGAGGGGACCACACCCTTAGGGATACAGGTGGCCTCTAAAAGCAAGAAAAGGTAAGGAAACAAATTCTGCCCTAGAGCCTACAGAAGTAACAGTCCTATCAACACCTTGATTCTAGCCCACAGAAACCCGTTTTAGATTTCTGATCTTTATAACTAAGTAACAAATTTATATTGTCTTAAGACACTAAGTTTGAGGTATTTTGTTACATCACAATAGGAAACTAATACACCATTTTACATAACATAGTCATGGGTTATGGGGATTAGAATGTGACCTTTTTTTTTTTTGGCGGTACGTGGGCCTCTCACTGTTGTGGCCTCTGCCGTTGCAGAGCACAGGCTCCGGACACGCAGCCTCAGCGGCCATGGCTCACGGGCCCAGCTGCTCCGCAGCATGTGGGATCTTCCCACGCCAGGGCACGAACCCGTGTCCCCTGCATCGGCAGGCGGACTCTCAACCACTGCGCCACCAGGGAAGCCCAGAATGTGACTGTTTTTGGTGAATCATTATTCTGTTACCATAATCCAGAGACAGTTAAACCCACCCAAGGTCATGACCAACTGAAAGAAGAAGCATTTTGTACCATCTTATTTGGGGTGTATAAGAGCAGAATTTAGGAAGGCAAGAGTAAATTTAGAGCTTAGATTTTAAAAAATAGAAAGTTGTATGCCTCTACTAGTAACTATTTTGAGACATTTTTTTATGCCATCAATACAATTTTGTGAATTTTGATGTCATTTATTAAATGACATTCCTCTCGGTCCCAGTAATGTATGGAGGTCTAGGGAAAGGGCTCTGGCCTTCCCAGTGTCACATCTTTGGCACGGAAGTCTTCCATTCCATATGTTCTAACCTCAAGTGCCCAGACACCGGGCTCCAAGGAGCAGGGCAAAACCAGGGTTCAGCAGGCTCCTTCCTGGGGTATTCACGCCTTCTTTGATTTCAGGTCTGTGGAGCTGCCCTAGGAGCCAGAGTTGTGGTATCCCCTCCTCTTCCACATTGCATTGCAAACTATAAAGGCTGTTCTACAGTAAATAAATAAACAAACAAACAAATAAATAAATAATGATATTCCAATGGGGTAAGCAGGCCAAATGGGTGTGCCATGATGTTTGTGAAGTATTCCAAACATCTCAAATGAAAATTTGTGGGTTTTTTTAAAGACAAAGATTTATATTTATATGCTACTGTAGATGTATTCAACAGCATCCTACATGCCAAACCAGCTCCACATTTAATAATCCCTAACTTTAATTACTTTCATTTGTGCATCAAAGAATGCCTCTACAAACAAGGATAGTTAAAAATAGTTAAAATCCAAAGTCAGCCTAGGCCAAAACAGCCTCACTAGTAAGCTGGTAAAGCAGGATAAGATTTGTACTTTACTAATACATTATGACATTGTCCACTACTAGAATCACTGTGCAGTATTGGCCATAACTCCCCCAAAAATAAATGTTAGAATTTTAGATCCAGAGTGGGTTCATTAAAAGTGAGAAAAGTAGAAAGACAAAGAGTAGAGGTTCCTTTTGAATTAAAGTGAAAGAGAATAGCATTTTGCATGCTACAAAAGTGAAGACTAAGTGAGAATGTGATAGTATATATATTTTTAAATAATGTAAGAAAGAAAAATGCCTTATCACACTGAGTTTTAAGTTTTAGGGAAAAAGGATTCTCTTTCGAATTGAGAAAGTAAATTTAGAAGAATCAAAGAAAGCATCACTTTCCTCAATGAACAAACTAATAAAACTCACTACAAGATATAGTAATCTCTTAGGCAAAGAATATCAAAAAAATCAGAAGAGGGACTTCCGGGCTTCCCTGGTGGCGCAGTGGTTAAGAATCTGCCTGCCAATGCAGAGGACACGGGTTTGAGCCCTGGTCTGGGAAGATCCCACATGCCATGGAGCAACTAAGCCGGTGTGCCACAACTACTGAGCCTGTATGCTGCAACTACTGAAGCCCGCAGGCCTAGAGCCCGTGCTCCACAACAAGAGAAGCCACCATGATGAGAAGCCCATGCACCGCATCGAAGAGCAGCCCGCTCACCGCAACTAGAGAAAGCCCGCATGCAGCAACAAAGACCCAACACAGCCAAATAATTTTTAAATAAATAAATTAATTAATTAAAGAAATAGAAAAAAAATTATAAAACGAAAAAACAGGGACTTCCTTAGTGGTGCAGTGGTTAAGAATCCACCTGCCAGTGCAGGGGACACAGCTGTGATCCCTGGTCCAGGAAGATCCCACATGCTGTGGAGCAATTAAGCCTGTGCACCACAACTACTGAGCCTGTGCACTAGAGCCCACAAACCACAACTACTGAGCCTGCATGCTGTAACTACTGAAGCCTGCGTGTCTAGAGCCCATGCTCCACAAGAGAAGCCACCGCAATGAGAAGCCTACACACCGCAACGAAGAGTAGCCCCTGCTCGCCACAACTAGAGAAAGCCTGCATGCAGCAAAGAAGACCCAATGCAGCCAAATAAATAAATAAATTTAAATAAATAAAGGGATTTGAAAAAAATAATCAAAAGAAAATTTAGACACACTTGTAGGAGGCAGAGCTTCTAATAACTGATAAGAGAAATTTAGACAGGTTTATCTAAAATCACTGTCAGAGAGGATCACTTGCTTACAATAGCATGGAAACACATTTGGATATTTGAACTGTCCAAGCATGAGTCTGGAAATATTTTAAGCAAATGTTTTAATTAAAATATAACACATATATAAAGGGGGAACAAATCATGTATATATCATATATATCTTCATAAAATTTTATGAAGTAACCACCACCTAGATTAAGATATGGAACATTACTAGCACCCCAGAAGTATTACACATTACCCCTCAAAAATAATTGCTATTCTGACTTCTGTCACCAGAGATTTAATTAGTCCATTTTGGGCATTTATATAAATAAAATCATACTGAAGTATATATATGTAATATTAAAATAAAATTGGCATCAAAGAGGATTACCATAACCTCATTTTAAATCCATGTTGGCAAAGCACATGAAGAGATGCTCAACATCACTAATTATTAGAGAAATGCAAATCAAAACTACAATGAGGTATCACCTCACACTGGTCAGAATGGCCATCATCAAAAAATCTACAAACAATAAATGCTGGAGAGAGTTTGGAGAAAATGGGACCCTCCTACACTGTTGGTGAGAATGTAAATTGGTACAGCCATTATGGAGAACAGTATGGAGGTTCCTTAAAAAACTAAAAATAGAACTACCAAATGATCCAGCAAT